ATTTTACCAAGGATCCCTAATTTTTTTCAAAATGAAATGTAGCCTATGTCAAATTGGAAGAATGTAGCATTCTATGGGTGAAAGAATTTTTTAAATCGGCCCAGTATATTTGAGCCTATTCATTACAAACACACAAAAATATGTACAAATCTTTCCTCTTTATAATATTAGTATAGAGATAGATTAGCTGTTGCCCGCGACTTCGTCCGCGTATAATAATGACTTCTGGCAGAATTTACACTTTTAAATTAGTTTTTATTATTATGTTCCAAGGTCCCGTAGGCGACAGTGTGAAAATTAACCTATAGATTGGTTAACGTAAGTCAACTAACAAGTCGAGTTCGACTTGTTAGTAATATTCATGCAAAATTTTAAGTAAACCCATGCAGTACTTTTTGAGAACACCCGGGATAAACTATAAATACAGACAAATAGACAAAAAATTACAAAAATTATGTCTTTGGCTTCGGTATCGATTGCAAATCATGCCCCAAGTATTCTTTTAAAACAATATTCAGTGTACAATTTTGACTTATGTATACCTAGATAAGATATTTTTGTTTTTTTTTTTAATTTAATAACTTTTGTAATTTGTATAATGCGTCAAGCGTGTATTTGCATTGTTGTCATTTATATTAAAAAAGATAATCTTTTTATTTTAATTAACATATTTTTAAAAAAAAGAGTAACGAGTGGAGTTTCTTACTCGTTCTTCTCCATTCAAATCTACATTTTGAAATGAGCTAGCTTCACCTAGTTTCACTGACAGACCGGCAGACTATTATTTATTTTGTATTTGTTGACGTTTCAAAGTACCAAATTATCGTTTCATTGGAATAAATGCTTTGACTTTGACTTAGCGAATAGTACATTGTTAATATTTAAAATATGAACCTCTGCTTATTCCCTTCCTTAATCATGTTTTTTATAAGCAACTAGATAGGCATCTATTGTTAATATTAACTTTGAATCATCATAATAAAATCAATGCGAAGGTAGGTAAGCATACACATATAGATGTCAAGATCCTATTAACTTTATTAAATAGCTTATTCTTCGCAACAGAATACTCAGGATGTTATGAATAATCAGGATGTTTAATAGTAAATAGTATAAAACATTGTAAGCTTTACTAGCTGTGCAAACGGTATCACCTATATAGTAACTTCATTATTGCCGGAATTCCCATTAGCTGTGACGTAATGAACAATCAAATTTTGCATTTTGTCGAGTTTGTTGACATTGCTCAAAAGAGCAGCAAATTGCAGAAACCCCTGGGCCGGTCACATTGGTCAGAAAACAAATGACAGTTGAAAAATATGTCTAGGTAAACGTACCTACTATAGTATACAAGCTCTAGCTAGGTGGTGTGGCGATATAGGCAGCAGAGGTTGAATGCGAACTGCTGTAATTTGAACCCAGTTTCACGCTCCACGCTATCGAAATGGGCTGATGGTGAAGATATTCATATAAAGCTATTGTGACAAAATCCCTAAATTAACCTGATGAAAACAAGTGATGGAATCACTTGTTAAAATATAACTTAGCCTCACTGAAACTTCAAAGCAGTTGGATCAATTTGGCTAATTTTGGTCTATAATTATTTGTCAAAGTCCAGGGAAGGTTTAAAAGGTGAGAAAAAAGAACTAGAAGGTACAAAATTTGCTGAGTCAGCTAGTTATGTTATAATTTATTAATAGCAATAAATTAGCATGTATGTAGGTATACTCCAATGATACACAAAGTGTCACTCAGGCTATAAATGATGAGTGCAACAAATACCTGAGTAAACTATCATAAGTTGCATTACAGATAATAATATAATAAGACATCAAATTTATTTGTTAATTACTTACATTTTATTTTCATTTTTTTTTATTTAAAATTTTATTTATTTGTCTATCATATTGCATAGTGATGGAGACCTTAATACTAGTCTTATAATATTGACAAAGTTGTGAGATAAGGTTCTACATGATTTTGCGTAATTTAAGTGACAATGCGATGATGGAAGTCAGGAACCCAAACTAGGATAACCTGTGCTATGGGCTCCTGACCTTCAAAATATCTGTTAAATCCAATACAAAATTCAAATCAAATTATGATCCTCTTTTATCATATCGGATGCTCTTTCAGCAATCATTATAATAGCAGCCGTTGGATTTCCTCTAGTAATTGTTGGCATCACACTAGCATCAGCTATACGCAGATCTTTCACACCATGAACGCGTAATCTACCATCGACGACAGTGCCCATGGGACATGTACTAGTGAGTTGATTAAGCCCAACAGAAACACAAGTAATGTAACACCGCCAGTATTCTCTAGTCTCTTTCTCAAATTTATTACACCGAGGAATTGGTTCTGCTATCTCTGCACTAACGTTCATAAAATACGTCGTATTCAACACGTGAAGATAATCTAATACATAATCTACAAGATCTTCTATATCATCTTTATTTGAAAAGAAGCCAGTGTTAATAAGCGGAGGGTCTTCAGGATTAGTACTTTTTAAGAGGACTTTTCCTCGTGATTTTGGACTGATATTGATTACTTCAGTAAACGCTTGAATTCTTTTTAGATTTTGTTTAAAGATGTTATCACAAACTTCATCGCTTAATTTAAATGCAAAAGTACAGTAGTACATTACAGTCTCAGGCGTAGTTACATATGTCATTTGCTGGTAATCAGGAACGTCAGATGATTGGTTGACTGAAATAAAGCCAGTGAATGAGAATCCGGGTAGTTGGTAAGGACTCGGTACTGGTGGATCAGTCAATGTTTCCATATTGAGGACTACAATAGTAGCAATATGCTCCTGAAGATTTTCTCCTACAGGTAAATTTGAAACAACTTCAATATTTTTCAGGTTCAAATGTTCCTCTGGCCCGACACCAGATAACATTAACAGTTTAGGCGTATTGATTACTCCAGCGGATACAATGACTTCTTTTTTAGCTTTCAATGTCATCGTTTTACGATCTTCAGTAAGAACTTCTACGCCGATAGCTTTTTTATTTTCATCAAACAAAATTTTAGTTACTAATGTATTTTTCAATACGTGAAGATTATGCCGAGTTTTAATAGGCGATAAGAATGCATAAGCTGAACTTTGGCGGGATCTACCAGCTATCATCAACATCTGTCCAGAAAACCCTAATGTGTTCTTTTCATTGAAGTCAAGAACTATATCATGTCCAAGTTCTCGGTAGGCATCTAGGAATACATCTATTCCTTCACGGTGGTCTTTAGTTAATTGTAGTAATCCATCAGTTCCGTAATACTTTTTGTCAGCTGACTGAAGAATTTGTGCATCCTTCAGTTTAATAGATTTTATAAAATATGGTAAAACATTTTCCCACTTCCATGTAGCATCAGTGGCTATTTCAGCCCAAGAGTCGTAATCAGTCGGATGTCCTCTATAATAACTCATGTAATGCATGGAGCTGGTACCGCCCAACATTTTCCCCAGAATTATTTCGTAAGAAGGAATAAGACGACAAGATTCGTCAAATCCATCGAGCTCTGCTGTGTAGTTCCAGTCGTAGCGAGATCTTTGCATCAAAATTGGAAGCGCAGGAAGCTGAAATAAAAAAATAAAATTTTATAAAACCCTCTTCTTAAACAATAAATACACTGAAGAAAATAAATAATACTACATTCACACAAAATGAACGGACCGAATGAAGAATTCGTGCATAAGATAAAGTTACTCACATCTGATTCGAAAGGTGGATTTCCACCAGCTTCGATGAGCAGAACATTGATGTGCTCGATTTCTGAGAGTCTGTTGGCAATGACGCTTCCTGCTGTCCCACCGCCGACCACTATGAAGTCGTAACTAGCTCCATCTGAAATTATTTTAAAAAACGTTCCCCTCAACAATACACAAATTGCAACGATTTGTCAATTTTGTTATAAGTTTCTTTTGATTTGTCGTGGTGGCCCGGATGTTTAAGGCACCCGCTTCTCATACATGAGTGTGCGAGTGCAAAACCTACCAACGGCAAGTACCAATGAGACTTTTGCCAAGTTAAATGTACTTTCTTAGATTATATAGATATCATTGACAAACTTGCTGTGAATTTTTTTTAAAGACTCACCACGAACGACAGCTTGATGTGGCCATAAATAATCGGCGAGGTGCAAATATGCCACTATTCTGAACGCATTTTGCAAAATTTCCACTATTTTGAAAGCGGCAGAGGCATTCATTGTTTTTTCTATTAAATCCACGTCAATCAGTACTTTGAAGTAGCAATGTAAAATAAAAATCGACACATTTATTTGTATTGTAATAACTGACAACCGAATGTGCAGGATTTATTAACACAAAGAAATAAAGTGGTAAACTGTTTCGTTATTTATATAGTGATTCCGGCTAAAACAAAATAGAAACAAAAGCACCTAGGTCATTCGTTTAAACAATTACGTACTTATTTAATAAAAAAAAGTTATTTTTCGTCACAAACATTTTCTAGAATAGGTAAAATACGTCTTTTAAAATTTGCATTCACACAATTAGTCCAACTTAATCTTGTTTCTTACTAATCTTACTATAATGTTATAAATGCAAAATCTTATAAGTCTGTGTGTTCGTTTGATACATAATCACATCAAAACTGCTTAAGGCATCATCATACCACGAGACAATCGGCGAAGCGTCACCGATTCATGGTAGATATCCCACCCACACACACGAAGCGCTTCGCATCAAGTTTCCTTGTGCGTACAAAGTTAAAGTCAAAATCAAAATCAAAGCATTTATTTCAATTAAACCATAATTTGGTACTTTTGAAACGTCAACAAATGCAAAATAAAAGTACTACTAAGAAGTGGAATTCTTTGCCAGAGTCTGTATTTCCTGAAGGGTATGAGTGAGTGTTTTCAAGGCCCGAGTGCATAAGCTACTTATGGGACGACGTGCTCCATCGTAGACCGCGTCATCGCTTACCACCAGGCGAGATAGTTGTCAAACGTCGGCCCATCAAAAATATATAAAAAAAGGGATCAGGATGAAATTTGAGACAAGACTAGGCTATGGTCTGGAATAACACAATATACCTCTAATTATACTTTTTTTCCCACGGCAACGACGGTGCTGTCAGAAGCTATTATTATATTATACTAGCGACCCGCCCCGGCTTCGCACGGGTGCAATATGCAAGTATTATAAATATAAACCTTTCTTAAGAACCACTCTATCTATTAAAAAAAACCGCATCAATATCCGTTGCGTAGTTTTAAAGATCTAAGCATACATAGGGACAGATAGACGGTGGATAGCGACTTTTTTATACTATGTAGTGATCAACAAAAGAGTGATTTTGATGTTGTCAAATAGTTAAAATATTTTTTTAAACATTGCTCACCCTAGTATTTTCTCCTGTGTCGTGAGTGCATTTACAAACATACAAGTTCACATAGACATGACACCCAGACCCGGAACAACAATCTGTAATTCACACCTTTGTGTAACATAACATCACGCCTTTTTATTCCCGAAGGGGTA